CACATGTCTTTGGACTTGTGGGGGAAACCGAAGCACCCGGATGAAACCCACACGAACACAGGGAGAACATGCAAACTCCACAAAGAAATACTAATTGACCCAGCCGAGGCTCGAACCAGCAACCTTCTTGTCTTAAGGCGAAGGTGCTACCCGCTGCACTACTGCGTCCTTACCAATATTTTTACTTTTATTTATAAGTACTTTATTTACTTTATTAAGATAACTTATAGTTTGATAAAAACAAAAACATTTTGCTGTAACAAATTATAGTATCTTTTAGAGTTGGTTCAAGTTGTTGTTGTTGTTGTTGTTCAAATCAATTCAATTCAGCTTTATTTGTATAGCGCTTTTACAATGTAGATTGTGTCAAAGCAGCTTCACATAAATGGTCATAGTAACTGGAACAGTGTGGTTCAGGTTTTAGTGTTTAAGTTCAGTTCAGTTCAGTTTAGCTCAGTTCAGTGTGATTTAATCATTACTTGTTGTTGTTGTTGTTGTTGTTGTTGTTGTTGTTGTTGTTTCATTGTTGGAACCCAAAATAGATTTATAAATCCTTGTTAACCTTAATGCTTTTCATGTTTCATGTTTAGTTTTGTAACTATGATAATAATAAACCTGTTCTATACTATTTTGACATATTAGGTTATTTGTTTTAGCTTATCACATTTTATTGTTACAACATTTTGTTTTTATCATGAATCCAATCAATTCGTTCATTTATTTTCCTGCGGCTCAGTCCCTTGTTCATCAGGGGTTGCCACTGCGGAATGAACCGACAACTATTCCGGCATATATTTTAGGCAGCGGATGCCCTTCCATCCGCAACCCAGTACTGGGAAACACCCATACACTCTCACATTCACACACACACACTCATACACTACTGCCAATTTTGCTTATCCAATTCTTCTAGCGCATGTTTTTGGAGCACTCGGAGGAAACCCACACTAACACGGGGAAAACATGCAAACTCCACACGGAAATGCCAACTGACCCAGTTGGGACTCGAACCAGCAACCTTCTTGCTGTGAGACAACAGTGGTAGCCACCGTGTCACCACAATAATCATTTGATCACATAATAAAATTATCTTTACATATTGCTACAACACCGTTTGCCCACTTGATCACTTATTTTGTGTATTTGATAAGTAAATGTGTCTCATTTGTGCATAAACAAATCTGTTAAGCTGAATGACAACATTATTGGAACACAGAAACAAATACCAAAAGAGTAGTTACAAACAAACAGGCAGATTTGTGGATCAGGGGGAAATAGCTTACTTTTACTTACAGTAAGTGGCGTTATTTGTCACAATTCAGTAAATTAACTTCCTGTCATTACAGTTCAAAGTTTCAAAAAAAAAAAGAAAGAAGTGCACAGAATCTGATGATGATCTTTCCCTGAAACTTTAACTGATTTAACAGATTTTTGACATCATTTGTATTATTATAAGCTACAACTGAGCGATTCCTTAATTGATAACTTCCATAAATATTCTAACATATTGTATGGCTTTAAAAGGCTTGACACATAGCATTAGAGTGTTCCTAATAAATGATTTTGTGTGATTTTTGTAGCTCGGAGTTTACACTGTAAAAAAAATCTGTTAATTAACAGTTTCTATATTTTGTGTTTTCAGTTGATTTACGGTTGTGAATTGCATTATGGGACCTTTATCTCTGACTTTTGATGGTAAAAATTCAACTCTTCAGTTCAAAAAAAGTTACTTTAATTGCCATTTTAGTAGTTCGAGCCTCGGCTCAGTTGACGTTTCTGTGTGGAGTTTGCATGTTCTGCCTGCGTTCGCATGGGTTTCCTCCGGTTTCCCCTACAATCCAAAGACATGTGGTACAGGTGAATTGGGTAGGCTAAAGCCTGATTTATACTTCTGCGTCAGGTGACCGGCGTAACCCACGGCGCAGGCAACGCGTGTGGCTGTGCATTTATACTTCTGCGCGCTGTCTCTGCCGGTCTGCAATAACACTTCCGAAACGCTAGTTGGCAGTGAGGTGTAAATGTTCCTCTGTGTCAAGTTTCTTCGCTAGTTTTTTGCATTTCCTGAACACTTCCGGGATGTACAAGTGGCTCAAACTCGCTCATTTTGAGGCAGGAACCGGCGGACGTGCAACAACTTTAACTATGAGGTAAACACAAAACAAAACTTTCCATCCGGAGCTCCTTCACGGGACTCCACACTTGTAAACAATCGCTCGCGCGGCGTCGCGCCATTCGCGCGCCTCTCGGTCCCGCCCAGTCTCGTCAGCACTACCAAGCCGACCAATCACAGAGCTTATGCTACGCGTCGTTGCGACGTGTAGTTACATTTTTTGAGAGGTGCACGTCAGTGACGGCGATGGCCACGGCGAAGGGCTATGCGTCAGCGCCGTAGCATACGCCGGTGTTTGACGCAGAAGTATAAATCAGGCTTAAGTTGTCCATAGTGTATAAGTGTGTGTGTGGATGTTTCCCAGAGATGGGTTGCGGCTGGAAGGGCATGCGCTGCGTAAAAACATGCTGGATAAGTTGGCAGTTCATTCCGCTGTGGCGACCCTGGACTAATAAAGGGACTAAACCGACAATGAATGATATAATATAAGAAATAATATATAGTGAAATAAATCTATAAATAACAGAAAATGTACCAGCATTTCATTACAAGGTTTTTGTACCTTAATATACAGCACCAACCCAGACAATATATCTCTTTAAACTATTAAAAATGTTTTAAAAAGTCATTTATTTCACTGTTTTAAGATTAAAAGTTATGAGAAGAAAGATCAAGATCCCATAATGTGATTTTAAAATGGGAAAAATAAAAACATGAATCACAAAATACAGAAGTCTGCTAATTTACAGATATTTTTACAGCGTAAGTAAAGCCCATAGAGCATAAAAGAACTCTCGGATGAGAGCAGATCATTAGCATGTTTACTGGATGTGCTCAGCTGAAACTGATTACAGAAACCGTGAAGGCGGAGCCCAGACGTAGGATACGCATGGTGAGAGAGGAAAAACAGGAAGTGAGGGAGCAAATTTCACAACGATACCCAGGGTAAATCCGATTGAACTACACGACGTCCATTATGCCACAATCGATACGGTATCAGCGCGTATGACTCATCTCCCCTGCTGGATATCCATAACCGGCTCCATCTGAAACATGCTCTGACTGGAGCCGCAGTGTCTTCAGACAGCGCTGACACTCATAGACTCCAAAGCAAAAATAAAAAAAGGCCTTGCATCCGCCCATCACATGCATTTGCTGTTTTCCAGGTCAGTCAGTCCGACACCCGGCTGCCTGGTTCAAAATCAAACGTAGAACTTCAAAAACTTAGTGATCAAACATGGGCAGATGGGGAAAGAAAGGAGGAAAGCAGACAACATACCAGCAGCAGCAGCACAGTAGACATCATAAAAACAGCCTGTTCCTTTGAGATTTATTGTGTGGACTGAAGTCAGGCTTGTGTGTCACTTTTATATGCAATAAGTATGAACACTCTGTCAAAACATAGGGATAACCAATAGGTTTATCTGACCAATGACAGTTATGGGAAGTGCCTAACAATTTGCAACTTCAAGGGATAGTTGACCCTAATAAAAATTAGGTAAATATGATTGCATTTGCTATGCTTCTAGCTAGGTTACAGTAATATTGTTCAAATGGAAGGAAAATGTTCTCCAAACTATAACCAATGGCTTCTGGAACTTTTACACCACTTGACCGTAGAAAAAATACTTGGCAACCTGTTTTAGATCCCATAAAGATAATGGACCCTTCGATTATTTTAAAAGAGTAGTTTTCCTTATTTCTTTCTTTTCTTTTATATTAGATATATACTGTATATTTTACTTAATATAATTATTCATAGCACTGTCGCCTCACAGTAAGAAACCCACACTAACACAGGATGGACATGCAAACTCCACACAGAAATACAAACGGACCCAGCTGAGGCTAAAATCTGCGACCTTCTTGTTATGAGCCGACATCACTACCCACTGCGCCACCGCACTGCCTATTATTATTATTATTATTATTGTTGAATATTATTGTTAAATATTATTATTAATATTATTAATAGCATTATTATTATCATCCTTATTATTATTTACATATTATTATTCAAATATTGTTATTATTATTTAAATACTATTATTCAAATATTAATATTTTTAATAAATGTATTATTATTATTACTATTATTATTATTAATAATAATAAATATTATTGTTGTTGTTGTTGTTTTTGTTTTTTAAAATAATAGGTGACGCAGAGGCGCAGTATGTAGTGCTGTCGCCTCATAGCAAGAAGGTCGCTTGTTCGAGCATCGGCTGAGTCACTTGGCATTTCTGTGTGGAGTTTGCATGTTCTCTCCGCATTCTTGTGGGTTTCATCCGGGTGCTCCGGTGTCCCCCCAGTCCAAAGACATGTGGTATAGGGTATTGGGTAGGCTAAATTGTCTGTAGTGTATGAGTGTAAATGAGTGTGTATGGATTTTTTCCTAAAGTTGGGTTTCAGCTGGAAGGGCATCCGCTGCGTAAAACATATGCTGGATTAGTTGGCAGTTCATGTGGCAACCCCGGATTAATAAAGGGACTAAGCCGAAAAGAAAATAAATGAATGAATGAACAATAATTATTATTATCATTATTATTATTAAAAATAACCATTATTATCATTATTATTATTAATAATAATTATTATTATTAATATTATTGTTTTGTTTTTTAAATATATAAAAATTTTTAAAAATATTATTATTGTTCTTGTTGTTGTTATGTTTTGATCACTTTAAAAATAATAAGTTTTTTTTTTTTTGGTATATATGTCAATATATAAATTTGTATCTTTTTATTGCATATTTGTTTGGGTTTTGTGGCAGCACGGTGGCTTAGTGGTTAGCACGGTTGCCTCACAACACAGAAGTTGCTAGTTCGAGTATGATATTGAAATACTACAAAAGTATTATTTAACAAAACTGTTTTGTCCCCCTCAGGACTTTCTGACTGATCTGATGATGTCTGAGGTGGATCGTTGCGGAGACAATGAGCACCTCATCTTCCGTGAGAACACACTGGCCACTAAAGCTATAGAGGAGTACCTGAAACTAGTGGGACAGAAATACCTGCAGGACGCTTTAGGTAAAGACACTGTTCTTTTGTGTGTGTCTTTCTCTGTGAAATGTATATTTAATAGTCATCTGGATCAAAGCAGTCCAGTACATTTCCTCACAACTTCTGCAGTGATTTTGGACCATTAAATTATGCTAAGGAGAAAATGGAATCAATAATTTACAGCCTTTTTGTGTGTGTGTGGGTGTGTGTGTCTGTTTTTGAAGTTATTTTTTAATGATTTAAGATCATGTCAAATATGAGGATGAAATCAAGCAAGGAGGGGAAAGCTTTGGGCTCAGTTTCCCTTAAAAGTGCTTTTTTGATGCTGGGAAAAAACTTTTCTAAATTGCAGTCTGTGAGGAAAGTGTCAGCGTTATATAAGCATAGCACAGTTAAAGTTGAAGAGCCCCCTTTAATTTATATGCATGTATATATATATATATATATATATATATATATATATATATATATATATATATATTTCCCAAATGTTGTTTAACAGAGCAAGGAATTTTTTCACAGGATGTCTGATCATTTTTTTTCTTCTGTAGAAAGTCTTATTTGTGTTATTTCAGCTCGAATAAAAGCAGTTTTTATTTTTTTAACACTATTTTAAGGTCAGAATTCTTAGCCCCTTTAAGCTAGATTTTTTTTTTTTTGATAGCCTACAGAACAAACCATCTTTATACAATAATTTGCCTTGTTACTGTAACCTGCCTAGTTAACCTAATTAACCTAGTTAAGCCTTTAAATGTCACTTTAACCTGTATAGAAGTGTCTTAAAATATATCTAGTAAGTTAAATATTATGTAGTCATCATGGCAAAAATAAAATAAATCAGTTATTGATGAGTTTTTAATGAGTTTAGAAATTGGAGGAAAAAATAAACAGGTGTAATATTTCAGAGGGGCTAATAATTTTGACTTCAACTGAATATATTGTGAAAAAAAGCAATTCATTATTTAGGTGATTTCTGTGCATTATAAAATAAAAACAAATCTTTAATTTAGTTATCATAAAAGCAAATGTGATTAATTTTCAGTCGATTCAAGTACACAGAAAAAAACTATGATTGATTGAATTTACTAAATTTTAATTAGGTCAGTGGATGCAAACAATTTATATGGGCTGATTTTAAACAAACTAAAAATTTAGTAACGTTCAACTTAATTTCTTTGTTTAAATTCAGCCCATATGAATTGTTTGTAACCACTGACCTAAAAACAAATGAGTAACTCCAATGAATCAATTTTTGTGTTGTTTAAGCTCTTAAAATAAAGCAAATGTTAAAATGCATCTCATCTGATGATGTTTGCAAATCTAAATATATTTTAAAGGTAATATTAAATCTTAAAGGGCACTTATGATGAAAATCATCTTTTGTAAGCTGTTTGGACAGACATGTGTAGGTATAGTGTGTCCACAGTCATGTTGGAATGATATAAAGACAATAAATCTCTTTTTTTTTATTTCCTGACATTCAAATAGGATCCAAATCCCTCCCATTTTAGGGCTCAGCACAACATCATGTAGAAGTGAGGTTTCCCCACCCACCAAATTGATTGACAGCTGCGTATTAACATGTCTCCGTAGTATGCATATAATCATATTCATAAGACAGGACTGACATGCGCAAAGCAAGTAGCATTAAGATCTGTTTGACTCGCTGTGATCATCATCAAATGTGATCAAGAATGAGTTTTACAAGCTTAAAACGCTTCTAAAACAGTGCAAGTTTGCACTCAACTACAGAAATTTACCGTCTTTATCACCACAGCCACATGTCAGTACATTTATAAAAGAAGAAGCTTCAATCTCGGTTTGTTGACTTTAAATCAGGTTGGTTTTGTACATTAACGTAACAGATATCCATACAGCAGTGGATATTAACATGCATACTGTCACATTTGCCGTGCAAAAACAGTGCAAAGTTAAATGCACACACTGTGTGTGTGTCCGCTGTATGTGTGCTTGAACTTTGTAACAACACTGTGTAACTCATCTTTGCAGAAAGGCTTGAATTAACTCCAAACTCCAATACATCAAATAATCATTGGGAAAGTTCTTACTGTAGGATTTCTCATAAACGTTATGTGAGATCTGCTTCCTTTATGTCTGTCACTGTGTTGTTTATCTGTCACAGCCGAGCAGGAGATTGAGGCGCATACTGACAGGCACGTGGGAATGGTGGGTGGGGAGAACTTGCATTAAAGGCAACAAAAACAGCTACGTTGGGTTTAGAGCATAAAACTCAATATTCTAAAAGGTATAATAAATAACCTGATGGGTGTTTTGAGCTGAATCTTTACAGACACATTCTGAAGACACAAAAGACTCATCTTAAATCTTGAAAAGGGGGTAAAATAAGTGCCCTTAAATGCAACTTATCCTTTATGCAGCAGTACAGTACTGCAGCGAGCTGCTCTCTGTGCTAAATAAGGTTTTTCCACATTTACTTTCATTTATCCCAGGTGAGTTCATTAAAGCCCTGTATGAGTCAGACGAGAACTGCGAGGTGGATCCGTCTAAATGCTCCTCCAGTGACCTGCACGAGCACCAGAGCAATCTGAAGATGTGCTGTGAGCTGGCTTTCTGCAAGATCATCAACTCTTACTGGTAATTCCATCAAATTCACCTCTCATATCAGAGTCTGCACACAGCATAGAGGAGAGTAGATGTGTCCTATAGAGCAAATTCCTTTAAATGCTCCTCCCTTTATAGGAATTTGCTCTATAGGAAACATCTTCAATTAACACATTAAAGGATTGTTTCACCCAAAACTGAAAAATCTGTTATTAATTAATCACTACCACCACGTCATTCCAATCTCCTGAGACCATGTTCTTGTTCATCTTCGTAACACAAATTAAGATATTTTAGATGGAATCCCAAGCAGCGATGGTCCTGACACACTCAAAGTCCAGAAAAAGTAACCAAAAACATTGTCAAAACATTCCATGTGATTTCAGTGATTCACAGTGTAATTATGAAAAGCTCCAAGAACACTTTTGGGTACCAAAATTACCGGTAATTACAACTTTATTTGCGTACAGTATATCTTCTCTCACACATTGGGACATGGTGCGCATTTTATAAAGGCTTTACAACTGTGAGCATGGTCTTGTTTTAACAGGTTATTTGGTGCACAAAAGTGCTCTTGGAGCTTTGTATGATTGAACCACTGACCTTCGGTGTCTGTGGAGGATCAGAGAGCTCTCAGATTTCATAATTAAATTAAAATATCTTAATTTGTGTTCAGAAGCTGTACAAAGGTATCAGGGGATTGGAAAAACATGAGAGTGAGTAATTAATTACAGAATTTTCAATTTTCGGGTGAAATAATCCTTTAAAATGGGTAGTTCCAATATTCAATATATCCAATATATAAGGTTCCAGATAAAACCTCCATATATATATATATATATATATATATATATATATATATATATATATATATATATATATATATATATATATATATATATATATATATTTATATATATGTATATATTTATATATATATATATATATGTATGTATGTATGTATATGTGTGTGTGTATATATTCCCCTGTTATATTATTATTGTTTTTTTAGTTTCTTAATTTCATGCTGATCATGATTGCCAATTTTGTCTTTTGTCCAAAAAGCCCATGATGCCTGCCTGGCATACTAAGATTAATAAGAAGTGAGAGGTCTCCATCTGTCCTCACAGAGACTGTGCTATTCCTCAGTCATCACCTACAAACAGTATCTGCAGAAGCATGCTGAGAAATGAAATTAGTCTCTCCTGCAAAGGCCTGGTGCAGGGTATCCCTTCAGGGGAATGCAATTTTTCTGCCTTCGAGGGGTATCTTTAACTGAATCTTGTTGCGTCTCACTGTGCTATAGTTTTTATGTTCCGCTGTCTTCAAAAAAGAGCAACTTAAACGGCAGATTGTGGCGAGCCGGAGGCCGCAGCAGGAGACGTCCTTAAGGTGCTGATGTGAAAATTGAAGGCGGACGTAACGATTTAAGGGGGTAGCAGTGAAAGCGTTGTGGGAGACGACGTGTCCCGTGTTGTTAACACTTAATTAAATGCACACAGTGACTGTGATGCGATGTGGGAATGCTGAAGCGGGTGGGAGTTTTGTTGGTGTTCGGCCTGTTTGTTGTTAAACAGTTACTCAGCAGTGCTAGACAACATTTCGGCTCACTAGCGCTGGTTTACAGTCAGCATTTATCGCCCTCATGTTGTTCCAAACCCATGAACTGGTATTTTTAGCTGTGGTTATATCAACTTTTAAAGATTCAGCTAAAATGAACATTTGTTGGAAGTGTTTAGAATACATTACAAGAGGGGAAGTGCCCTTGTTTATTTTATACTGTTCTCCGATGTCCACTTATAAATTTTTACATTAAAAAAACAGAAATACATTATTTTAATGTGTTATTTTGCTATTTTTCTGGCCTGTTTTGAGCTCATTCATTAATGGGCATTGATTTAGGTTTAAAACACATAAAAACTCTCCACACATAAAAACTCTCCACACATAAAAAAACACATCTGCAATGATCTGACAGACAAAGCAATAGGGAATAGTACTAAAAGATTACTTAGTGGTGTAACATTAGTCTTGGATCCAATGTAGTTGGTCCAAAGCCATCTTTTAGTTTCAAACATTCTGAAATTCTAAGCATCGAGATACGCATTGTTTGTAAACAAATCTGCAGTAAGATGAAGTGAACAAAGCAACAAGTTTCAATGGACATGGTCTGGAGCTTCATTAAAAATAAAGTTCATCCACACTTTCCAAAAATGTGATCAGACGTTGTAAAATTGTGTTGTCTTCAGAGCATCCTTAGCATTTGATTTCTGCATAGACTTGCATTTGTCTCTCTCATTATTTATTAACTACATCATAATTCGTTGGATCGAGCTAAACAAACAGAGTTAAGCCACACTGTTTTGTTAATTATTATGTACTATAATGTAAACCTGTATTTTTTTTCCAGATTAGCTTCAAATTAAGCTGGTTTTAGACTAATGAGAAAGTGTTGAGTTCTGAAACGTACAGGATACATTTATAGCAGCTCTGCACAAGAAGTTTGGCCAAAGTAGACATAGTCGTGCCCAAATGAGCCTGATTTTTCTCAAGGTTTTTTTTTCCCTTCACTTACGTCAATTGGTAAAGTTTGTTCCTCGCCACTGTTGCCACTGGCTTGCTGGGTTTGATTTTTGTGGAGCTGCGTATCAGTGGATTTGCTCTTTAGTGTTTGGACCTTCAGCTGTGAATTAAACCACACTGAACTGAGCTAAACTGAACTTAAACTCTGAAAACTGAACTGACACCGTTTCAATTTACTGGAACTTCTATGTTAGGCTGCTTTGACACAATCTACATTGTAAACGCGCTGTAGAAATAAAGATGAATTGAATAGTACAATGAGCTCTATTCCCCCTGTTACAAAGCAATGATGTTGGAAAAGAAAGCCCAGCCTCCTACTTAATAGTCCAAATTATTTGGAAGATTATCAACAAACTGAAATAAAAGTCTCAGCAATTTCTGGGTCTTCTAGCATTTATGGGATTTGTGATATCTCACTTTTAACCCTATTGATGTTTTTTAACCATTTAACTGGCATGCATTGTAACTGCCTGGTTAGCCTTTTGTCCATAGGTTATAATTAAAACAAACTCAAAACAACTCAACATTTGCGTGCCTTAGAATGATGTCAGAAACACAATTTGACCAAAAAAAAAAGGTTTAAAAATGTTTAGAGTGGAAAAGTTAAAGGGTTAAAACAAATTTTTGTTTTCTAATCAATCAAATTATTGTCCTTCCACTCTAGTGTGTTTCCTCGGGAGCTCAAGGAAGTGTTTGCGTCGTGGCGGCAGGAGTGCAGTAGCCGAGGACGGCCGGATATCAGTGAACGCTTGATCAGCGCGTCGCTCTTTCTGCGCTTTCTGTGTCCTGCCATCATGTCGCCGTCACTCTTCAGCCTCATGCAGGAATATCCAGATGACCGAACTGCCCGTACACTCACACTCATCGCCAAAGTCACACAAAACCTTGCCAACTTCACCAAGTGAGTGTTTTTTTTTTAGCTTGCTAAGTGAGGATGGTTAACTGGAAAAAAAAACTTGCAATTCATTAAATCTAGCGCTGGGATTAAGCACATCCAAAATAAAAGTTTGTTTTGACATTATATATGTGTGTGTGCTATGTATATTTATTATAAATTCCCACATGCATGCATATATTTGACAAAAGGTTTATTCATATTTAGATATAAAATATATATGTATATGATACAAATTATATATAAATGTAAATATTTATGTTAAAAAAGGTTTTGTATAGTTTTGTTTCTATGTATGTGTGTATCACATCTACATAATAAATATGCATAATACACACACACACACACACACTCACCGGCCACTTTTGTTAGGTACACATTACTAGTACCAGGTTGGACCCCCTTTTGCCATCAGAACTGCCTTAATCTTTCGAAGCATAGATTTAACAAGGTACTGAAAATATTCCTCAGAGATTTTGGTTCATATTGACATAATAGCATTATGCAGTTGCTGCAGATTTGTTGGCTGCACATCCATGATGCAAATCTCCCATTCCACCCCAAAGGTGCTCTATTGGATTGAGATCTGGTGACTGTGGAGGCCATTTGAGTACAGTGAACTCATTGTCATGTTTAAGAAACCAGTCTGAGATGATTCGAGCTTTATGACATATGTGCGTTATCCTGCTGGAAGTAGCTGTCAGAAGATGGGTACACTGTGGTCATAAAGGGATGGACATGTTCAGCAATTGGTGCTAATGTGCCCAAATTGTGCCAAGAAAATATCCCCCACACCATTACACACCCACCACCAGCCTGAACCATTGATACAAGGCAAGATGGATTCATGCTTTCATGGTGTTAATGCCAAAATCTGATCCTATCATCTGAATGTCGCAGCAGAAATCAAGACTCATCAGACTAGGCAACGTTTTTTTCAATCTTCTATTGTCCAATTTTGGTGAGCCTGTGTGAATTGCGGCCTCAGTTTCCTGTTCTCAGCTGACAGGAATGGCACCCGGTGTGGTCTCCTGCTGCTGTAGCCCATCCGCCTCATGGTTTGACATGTTGTGCATTCAGAATTGCTCTTCAGCATACCTAGGTTGTAATGAGTGGTTTTTTGAATCAGTCTGGCCATTCTCCTCTGACCTCTGACATCAACAAGGCATTTGTGTCCACAGAAAGGCCGCTCACTGGATATTTTCTCTTTTTCAGACCATTCTCTGTAAACCCTAGAGATGGTTGTGCATGAAAATCCCAATAGATCAGCAGTTTCTGAAATACTTAGACCAGCCCGTCTGGCACCAACAACCATACTAAAATCACCTTACTTAAATTACTTAAAAGTCACTTAAATCACCTTTCTTCTCCATTCTGATGCTCCGTTCAGCAGCTCCGCAAACTGCAGCAGATCCTTTTGACCATGTCTACATGCCTAAATGAATTGAGTTGCTGCCATGTGATTGGCTAATTAGAAATTTGTGTTAACGAGCAGTTGGACAGGTTTACCTAATAAAGTGGCCGGTGAGTGTATATTATGTTAAAACAAACTTTGTTTTTATTTTAGCCCAGCACTAATTAAATCATAAACATACAAAGTAAATCAAAATGTTCTAAAATCACTTTAGAAAAATAGCATCTATAAGATACAGAAATGCTTCATAACACTTGCAAGACTAACAAACGAGCATCATTTGTTTTCATGATGGTTATGTTAATAACATAATGTGCAATACTATTTCTATGCTTGTGGTTGGTAATGTAAACATAAAATGTAAACAAGTTTTATCAGGTTTCATCAGAAAAAAAAACAATTTATTGTGTTTTATGGTGTAGGTTTGGCAGTAAGGAGGAGTACATGTCCTTCATGAATCAGTTCTTGGAGCACGAATGGACTAACATGCAGCGCTTCCTGCTGGAGATCTCCAACCCAGAGACCATCTCTAACACAGCAGGCTTTGAGGGTTATGTTGACCTGGGCCGTGAACTCTCGTCTCTTCATTCTCTCCTGTCTGAAGCAGTCTCACAGCTCGATCAGGTAGGGGTTTGCTTTTCAACGAATATAATAGAAATAGAAAAGAAAAGTATGAAGTTAAATTCAAAATTACTCAATATTCAATATTAATATTATTCAATATTATTTCTTTTTCTTTTTCAAACATTTCGCAAAAAATAATTAACATAGCATGGATTTCCTATAATATTTTTTCTTATTATTTGTTTCATTTTGGCTACAATAAAAGCAGTTTTATATTTTTTAAAACCATTTTAAGGTCAAAATTATTAGCCCCCTTAAGCAAAATTTTTTCGATTGTCTACAGAACAAAATCATTATTATAGAATGGCTTGCATAATTACCCTAATGTCCCTAGTTAACCTAATGAACCTAGTTAAGTACTTAAATTTCACTTTAAGCTGAATACTAGTATATTGAAAAGTATATAGTAAAATATTATGTACTGTCATCATAGCAAAGATAAATTAAATCAGTTATTAGAGATGAGTTATTAAAACTATCATGTTTAGAAATGTGTTGGAAAAATCTCTCTGTTAAAAAATATACAGGTGGGCTAATAATTCAGGAGGGGTAGTAATTCTGACCAACTGTATGTTGAATAAATTAGGTATTTCTTCTGTAATTTACTAATTCATCTAGTTTTTATGTGAAATATATTAAAATGGAAGTTTACCATGGAAGTCAATGGTTACCAATTTCCAGCTTTCTTCAGAATATCTTCATTTGTGTTCAACAAAAGAATAAAACTCAAACAGATTTGTGACAAGTCAAGGGTCAGTAAATGATGACAGAATTTTCAGCTTTGGGTCAATCTTTAATTATGTTATGTTGCCAGATTTTGCTAAAATAAGAACAAGCCCTAATTAAAATGAATCCCAAACTCTATATTATCAAAAAAACACACATACCGAAATATTGTGGCCTGCACCTGGCTACTTTATTAACTTCATAAACTGGTTTGCTTAATCCCAAAGAAGCTTAATAGCATTTGCTTAAAATATCTGGACATGGCAACAAAAGTGTGAAGAATATGAAGAAGCCCTTTAAATGTAAACAAAACTCAACTTCTGTGTCAACAGTAGCTCATTTAAAATGGCAAATAAAACCTTTTTATTAGGCCAGGAACCATGTATGGTAACTTAATAGACTTGATTATTTTTCATTTATTATTTTAAGTCAAGGCTGCACAGTTGCTCAGTGTCTCCCAGCAAGAAGGTCACTGGTTCAAGCCCCAGCTGGGTCAGCATGTTCTCCCCATTTTGCTGCATGTTTTTTGGAGTTGTGGGGGGAACCAGAGCACCCGGAGGAAACCCACACAACTCCAAAAACATGCAGTATAGGTGAATTGGATAAGCTAAATTGTCCGTAGTTTATGTATGTGTATGCGAGAGTGTATGGGTGTTTCCCAGTGATGGGTTGCAGCTGGAAGGACATCCGCTGCGTAAAACATATACTGGATAAGTTGGTGGTTCATTCCGCTGTGGCGACCCCTGATTAATAAAGGGACTAAGCCAAAAATATATTGAATGAATTTTCAAGTTTAAAAGTCTTGTAAAACACTACACGTACAGGTTTTTTTTATTTTAATGAGTGCTCTATAAAGGGTTAAAGAACAAATCTTTCGTCACAGTAAAATTCATTTGTTCTGAGTGTAAATAATTGCAAGAGCGAGTCTTCTTCCCTAACATTAGGTAAAGCAGTTTACTTGCATATTTGAATGCAGTTATGCTAAAATTATATAGTGTGTGTACCGCCACTGTGAGCTCACACTGCTCTAAAAGTTGGATTGCAGACAGTCACAGTCCTCCATTGTGTTGTAGACTACCATCACCAAGCTGGGACCTTTAGCTCGGATCCTGCGAGATGTGAATTCAGCCCTTACAAACCCCACCGGAGCCCCTGTACCGTCTCCCACTGAGCGTGTCGGGTCACCTAGTCTACCTAGCAGCAGCCTGTCCACCGGTCTGCAGAAGATGGTGATGGACAGTGAGATCACAGGGTAAGTCTAGGTTAAATAATAATCTTATGTTACAAGAATTTCTTCTTTTTTACGTTATTTAGATTCTAAACTGAGTAAGTGCTCACAGAAGATGAATAAACATTTAAAAAAACTCCCTTAGATTATGTGGGCTCTGGGATGTGATCCATGCGAGTTGATGGCTATTCGCTGTGGCAGTCTGTGAAATGTGGAAAATACTTTTAAAGCACTTTTATATTTAGGTGAGTGTCTTGAATGTGACAGTGTGAAATGTAAATTGAGCTGGGGGAAGAAAACTGCAAGCTAGTAAAATCTTCATCATGCTGTTGTGGAATAGGGTAAAATTGAAGACGAGAAAATGTGTCCTGACTCATATAAAAATCCCTGCTCCTCCAATGATCACTTTCAGGGAAGATTACTTGCATCTGGTAATGACTGCACATGTTTTAATAAGTACTCTCAGATCTCTTTATACATATATTATTCTCTTACACTGGGATTGTAGAGTTTTATTACATAGTTTTAAATCAAAAGACATTTTTTTGTCAGTGTTCAGACAGCTATCATATCAGCACACATTCATTAGCCATGAAAATTAGCTAGATCAGATGTGTCATGGGCTGCATAGGAATTGTACTCTCTCTTGCAATGTAGGTATTTATTTTGAATAAGCAATTGCTTAGGACTTCTAAAATGTTGCTTATATTTTTAATGTTTGTAAAAAAATGTATGTACTGTGCATTTCTCATGTTGCTAAGTGTCCTAACATCAGTTGCATTGCTTTATTGTCATTCTTAAATCATTTACTGGGGTCTCTTGAGATAGAGAAAACTCCCTGGAAGTAATAGGTCAAGGGTTGTTTTTGACTATACTTTTAATATAATTATAATACTTAATACTATAATTATAACACTTATTTGTCAAATATTCTGTATAGTAAAGTATAGACATTTATGCTGCTATTCAGTAATTTAATATATTGTGATAAAGAAAATAATGTGGCACTTAACAGTGCTGTGAATAATAGTTATTTATTATTTAAACGTTTAGAGTTCCCTTTTAGGAATATTCTGACGGTTTTATTAGTGGTGGTTCATTAATGCTTGAAGACTTAAAAGGAGATATGTATATATGTATATGTATATATTTGTGAGTGTGTTTGTGTGTGTGTGTTTGTGTGTGTGTGTGTGTGTGTGTGTGTGTGTGTGTGTGTGTGTGTGTGTGTGTGTGTGTGTGTGTGTGTGTGTGTGTGTGTGTGTGTGTGTGTATATATATATACAGTGTATTTGTTAACTATCATAAGGCTCCATTTGTTAACATCAGTTAATTTAACTAAAGTCGATGTAAGAACAGGGTGACACAGTGGTGCAATAGATAGTGCTGTAGCCTCACAGCAAGAAGGTTAGTGGTTCAAGCCTCGGCTGGGTCAGTTGGCATTTCTGTGTGGACTTTGCATGTTCTCCCTGCGTTTGTGTAGGTTTCCTCCGGGTGCTCCAGTTTCCCCAACAGTCCAAATACATGCGGTATAGGGGATTTGGGTAGGCTTAATTGTCCATAGTGTATGAGTGTGAATGAATTCAATAAATTTTTTTACTTAACTTTAACATAACTATAATATGCCTATTTCACACTGTGAAATTTAATGCATTAAAGTTTTCTAATGAGACTTTGGGCATACTCTCACTATGTACAGTTGCCTTGAACCGTGCCGAAGCGCAGTTGTCCCCTCTTTCCCAACGGCTTGCACTCACATTGCATCCGAGACAGAGTACGCTTTTGTCATCGATGGTGCGCTGTTCAGTTGAACAGAGAGAAGCGCTCTCACTCAACACAGTGGATGTGCTTTAGTTATATAGTTTTGTATTATTTTTAGTCGTTACGGATGCAGTGACACACAATCAAATATTTTGCAGAACAGATCCACAACTTTTGCATTCATAAGTTATCATAAAAGCCCTCACACTGCAGATATTAGGAGGTTTGCTGTCGTGCAGTGAGGGGTTTGCGCCTGTAATAAACTATGACAGTTCACGTTCATTGAAAAGTAAGAATGATTAATAAACTCATCTGAAACAGTCCCTTAAAAGTGACGTTGCGTCTTCAGTTTCGGGCTTAGGCACGATTTGCGCTCACACTAAAAGCGTACCACGCCAAAGCCTAACCTCTGGCACACCTCTTCCTACCGGGCCAGGGCCGGCCAACTGAACCGCACCTGGGCCCGATTTGGAGCACTCATACTTGTCAAACAAACCAGGAAACGCACCTGGTCATGGTTTGGATAGCATAGTGTGAGTGCACCCTTAATTGCATATACATGTTCAGAATAAATAAATAAATAAATAAATAAATAAATAAATAAATAAATAAATAAATAAATAAATAAATAAATATTCAATATATTACAAAATAGGTAACACTTTAAAGCAGGGGTGTCCAAACCGGCCAAAAACCAACCTTGATTGAGGGCTATGAGCCATATATATATATATATATATATATATATATATATATATATATATATATATATATATATATATATATATATATATATATATATATATATATATATATATATATATATATATATATATATATATATATATATATATATATATATATGTGTGTATGTATGTATGTATATATATATATATATATATATATATATGTGTGTATGTATGTATGTATATATATATATATATATATATATATATATATATATATATATATATATATATATATTACATTAAGTTTGCCAAGGGTAATTTCCTAATTTATTAGCTAATATTAAAAATTACCAGAAAAGTAGAAAAAAATAAAAAATAAACAATCACATTTATAACACAATGCAATTCAATGTTTAATATAGTCGAGCTGCTCTTGGCTTTGCCTTGATTTGCTCGCAGATGTCTTGTGCATTGTCCTCTATTTGACAAGTGACAGTATTCACATTTTAAAAGTCTGATTCATTTATAACATTTATTTGAAACATTTCATTTCAGTTGGCTTTTTATTGTTTTATTGTTCAGTCACAAAACAAACAAACAAAAATTTACGTTGAATTTGTCAACGTTAATCTTACAATCTCTGTCAAACCACCTTCCATTCCACATTCCCATCCCTGCTCCCACTCTTTTCTGATGGGAGGGTGGGCCAAATCAAAGGTTACCATGGGCCAACTTTAGGCATCTCTGCTTTAAAGTAAAACAGTAGGTATTTTAGGTTATTCTGCCTGTTAAAGTAATCTTTTTTGCAGCTCAATATATTGATGATACCATGTATCATGACAAAAGTTTAAGCAATTAATCACAGCAAGAAATTTTGAGAGAAGCCTAGTAAGCAAGTGCAATATGTGATTTCTGACCTAGCAGCCCTGCAGAGTTTAGCTCCTACCAAACTGAAACAAATCCTAAACCACGTGACCAAGGTCTTTAGACACAACAGAAACTTGTAGATAATTTGATTGGAGCAGAACTCTGCAGGGCATTGACCTTCCAGGAGAATAATTGGACACCCCTGAGCTAGATAATGAGTTTAATTTGAATAATAAAAAAACAGCTGTGATCTTCATTTTGTCCTGTCATCTTTTGGACAGGCTGGTGGATTTCACTCGACTGCCCTCGCCGACCCCCGAAAACAAGGACCTGTTCTTTGTCACAAGGAATTCTGTGATTCAGCCGTCACCCGCCCGCAGCTCCAGTTACTCCGAGGCCAACGAGCCAGATGTTCAGATCCCCAACGGTAGCAAGAGCTTGTCAATGGTGGACCTGCAGGACAGCCGTTCTCTAGAGAGCGCTGCCAACACCTCCTTCAGTGACCCCATCAACGACAGCCAGGCGTCTGCTGGCCAGAGCGCAGGAATGTGGACCACCCGCACCATAAAGGGCAACACGCCCAGTGGTCCAACCCTGAGGAGAGCAGGTCAGACCCCCACCACCCCGAGCACAGAGTCTGCCCCAGGAAGGTCCCAGCTGCTTGCCCCGCTCTCCTTCCAGAACCCTGTGTACCAGATGGCCGCCGGATTGCCTGTGTCACCCCGTGCAGTGGCCGATTCAGGATCTGAATGCCAGAGTTCCATCAGCAGCAATGCAGAGGAAGCAGCTACCGCGGGGCCAAAGCACCCGTTTATAAGCCAGTCCAGCACAGGGGCGAGCGGCGGAGGGGGCAGTAGTGGGGATGAATTTATTCAACGTCCTGGAGAGTTTACACGTCGACAGCTGTCACTTACAGAGACCCAACACCAGACCAATGTACCGCGGCAGAACAGTGCTGGCCCGCAGCGCCGGATAGACCAACCACCTCCAGCCATTACAAGAGGCCGCACTCCACCAAACATGCTCAACACTGCTCCCTATCCACGGCCCTCCAGTGGAAGTATGATGTCATCGTCTCCTGACTGGCCCAGCAGCGGCACTAGACTGAGGCAACAGTCTTCGTCCTCCAAAGGGGACAGTCCAGAGTCCAAGCAGCGCACACTACACAAACAAGTGAGTCCATTTGAACACTATTTCTCTAGTTTTCATAAATGTGTCTATTTCATTTCATTATTTAAAACTGAAGCCATAATGTTCCAAGTATGGTTGCTGTGACCTTGTGCAATGATGTCACTAGAAACGATACCAATTAGATAGGGTTCTTGTTTACTAGTTAGCCCAATCAAGTAGGTATGACTGCAGCCTCCTGCAGACCTCTAGGTGGGAGGGACTTATGCTGCAGTTAGGCTGGGTTTAGGGGTGGTGTAGGTACTGTATAAACATTAATAAAACATAACAGGTCACTGTTAGATTGGGTCTAGGGTTGGGTTTAGGGTTAGGGTAGGTGTAGACATTCATAAAACACAGTAGGTTGGACTCCATGTTATGTACAAGATAAATGAAAACTCCAGGAGGTGTGTTCAGCCCCCTTGGAGCTTAAGTCCCACCCACTTTGAGCTGACCAAACCATTTGAACCTGGCTCTGACCTCCATTTATACCCTTCTCGGCCTAATTGCAAATACACATGTGACAATTAACTAAAAGCAAACGTGTTAGAAAAATAAACACTTTACACTTAAATGTTCTGTATAAGTTTTTGACAATTCTAAAGCATAAAATACCATAATATGTTTGCAAATATTTAAGAAACATGCCACTTGAACAATCTTGGTTATCTGAAAAACAATGCTGAAGTCAGATTTTCTGCTTTGAAAATGTGTTACGTGCCAGAATATCTGTCTTTGTTTTGGTTTTAACACATTTAACATAAGTAAAAGCACATGAGGTTTACCTGAGGTAAGCATTGCCAGTTTGCTGTTATTCAGCTGCAAGCCATTTCTAATATATTAATTTAAGGTGTTGGTTAGAACAAAAACTCTATCGTGTGCTGTTACTTTTATATAGAACATGACTTAAATCAGCCTTTAGGCTCGATTGTCAGACTCGCTTCTGGTGGTCCTCAATCTGACAACCAATGTTTTTTTTAATCCAGGAATGTAATGTAAGTTCAACCGCTGGGTGTCAAACTTACATAATACACATATAAACGTACTTCAGCATGTGAATTAAAATAAGTACTACCTAAAATTATCTAAATCGTTTATGGAAAAAGCTCATTTGAAAATGTATTTGTTACATTTGTACAATTTTTTTATGATATGTGCTGCAGCCACCCACCAGGAAGCAATACAAATGTTTTGGCTTTATTTGGTATGGTTTATATCTTGATGAAAAGATCATGTCATATTTAATATGATATTTAATCATGTCATATTCATGTCAATTATGTCAATTTAATTGTACTCATCAGAAATATAATTTTAGTGCAAATTTAAATCATCAACATTTAGTTTACCAAAACCCTTGTTGTTGATTTATGCAGATGTTGTGTTTCACTCACTTTATTCAGTCCCTATGTACCCAAATGATTTTAATTTGTATAAAACCAAATATTGTCTAAGAACTTAAAACAACTGGTAGCCATAATTGGATGGTGTTTTCAGTCATTTTGACTACACTTGTCATTTCTACACTATTTTGAGAAGCTTTTTAGAAAACAAGTATGTGTATAATCAAGAATTTGTTCCCTCATTTTAGTAGTTACTTGTGTTAGCCAGTACTCATTTTTGGGTATTTACACCTACCTAACTTTAAATAGTAAAAGTCCTTGACCCCAGTGAGCTACAAACAAAAATTAAATATCATTGGAAAGAAGACACTTTGAATCCATCTAGAAAGTTTCATGCTAAAAAAATATGAAAAGTTATATATTATGAAGTAATGAGAAAGAAAAATTGTAGTGTTTTTAATATTTGTTTTTTCATAAACAAACAAAGCCTAGTCTCTCATAAGTTTATATTTCAAATTTAATAAAGATAGCATGCAAAATAAGATTTCTGTAAAAGGTTTTCTGAGACTATATCGGTGTCCTACTTGTCCTCACCGCCAGAGGCATTTTAAAAATTACCTTCCCAATATAAAACAGTAACAGTTGCTGAGTAATTTGGTCTACCTTCACAGTTCATATATCTTTGGAAAGAAGACACGTTAGGCTTTATTATTCCAGCATCTAGATTTTATAATGTTCAAAACAAAAACAAAAAAAACCTATAGATTCTTAAGTAGTGTAAAAAACTTGCACAACTTATCCAGCAAGTTTTTACGCAGCAGATGCCCTTCCAGCTGCAACCCATCTCTGGTAAACATCCACACACACATTCACACACACACTCATACACTACGGACAATTTAGCCAACCCAATTCATCTGTACCGCATGTCTTTGGACTGTGGGGGAAACCGGAGCACCCTGAGGAAACCCACGCGAACGCAGGGAGAACATGCAAATTCCACACAGAAACACCAACGAAGCCGAGGCTCGACCCAGCGACCTTCTTGCTGTGAGGTGACAGCACTACCTACTGCGCCACTGCTTCGTCCAGATTTTATTATTTCATAAATATATGAAATTGGTCCTGGAGCAATACAGAAAAGTTATAAGTCAAAAGCCACACGTCTCCTGGGTATGTGTTTTATATTTTGATAGCAATATCATGCAAAATAAAATTTCGGACATAAAAACACAAAATAACTAATTGGAAAGTAGTTTCTATTCCAGATTTACAAATGCAATAGATTTACATTAATAATGGCCAGAAAGCCAATAGAAACGACATAACGAGGATGCAGGGCAAGCACTGCCCATGTTTTGCTCTCAGTTACTGCCTAATCAATGTTGTTACGGCTATAATCAAGAAAAAAAAAAACACTTTTCCAAGTTCCAAGATATGATCATTTTCCAAGATTTGGGATTGTGTTTTAAAGTCGATCACATTCTTTGTGTCTCACTAGATCCATGAGTTGCTGTATTCCCAGAACTCATTTAGAAACCACTAAATTAGCTAGCACTCGGCTGATATTCTTAAAACAACTTGGCACTTAGATCTCTTGGGGGTTAATGAGTCTTTCGGTGCATCGCTACAATCAAACAAGGCTCTTAGGTTAGGATGAACAAACGAAGCCCTCTTGCCGTCAGAGGTGAAAGGAATGAGCAGACAAGCAGAATTAATTGCAGGCTCTGCGCTAGTGATTAAATGACTCCTCGCATTGTCCAAACTGTTCCTTTGAAGTCTGCTGAATAAATCTTCATTAAAAATTGATCAAGCGTTTTTTTTTTTCTTTCTTTTATTTTCCAGCAAGCGTTGTTGTCACCTTGAAAAGTTTTAAGGCACTTGTTTGTGTGCATGTTTTTGTGCACGATTGATTGCATACTATAGCTTTTACCAACCCAATTATGAAAAGGATGTGATGTTTTGTAAAAGTCAAAGAAGTGATCTATCTGTGATTTTGTTAATTCTCTTTAACTTTTTTAATGGAAAGTAAAAGTATAAAGACATGCTTTCCAAGGTTTTACTGACAAACTTTAATGTATTTTTCAAATATAAACTTATTTATGGTGGCAACACACTCCAAACAGAGGCAAAAAGAAGTGTAAAGGTTACAGAATATCCAGATTAATCCATTTTGAAACATTCCATGAGCAGATAAACTAGTAAAATGTGTAAGCTTCAAATTGAGCTCAAAATAGTGCATCTCAATCTTTGTTAACAAAGCTTGATCATATGTTATCATTTCTTTCGACAACTAATGTAAATGTATATGTACAGTAATATTGTGAAAAGATTCATGAAATCCAGTGAAATCTCTGCCTTTGTAGGGCAATGCTATGGTGCTGTGTTGAAGGGTATGACAATTATTAAATAAATTAAAATTATGTTATTAATTACTCACCCTCTTGTCATTTTAATCCCCTGAGAACACCTTCAGAATACAAATTAAGATATTTTAGTAGAAATCCCAGAAGTCTCTTATCCATATACAGCTCGAGATGCTCAAAGTTATGAACTTTGGAGGAACCAAAAACATTTCATGTGACTTCAGTGGTTCAACTCCATAATTTGACTTTAGTCAGCTCCAAGAACACTTTTGTGCAGTAAAAATAAACCCTGTTAAAATGACTTTGCATTAGGTAGGGGTGTGCATTTACTATGGGAAATAAAATGCTTGTGTTGCATGGCTGACTCATGTTATACTGCTCATGAGTAAGAGAAGACAAAAATGAAGTTGTTTTTATGTTGTTGTTGTTGTTTTTCTTTGGCACACTAAAGTATTCTTGGAGCCTCATATGAATACAATTGAACCACTGAGGTCATATGGAATGTTTTGACAATATTTAGGTTTTTTTCCGGACTTTGACCATCTCTAATCTTGGAGTCTATGGAGGATCAGAGAGCTTTTGTGTTTCATCTGAAAAAAAAAAATCATGAAATGACATGAGGGTTAGTAATTAATATAAGATTATTCATTTTTCGGTGAAAAAAATCCTTTAAATAAAGCCAAATGGGTTCAGCAAAACTGCTGTCACTGAACAGTCTACGGCAGTGGTTCCCAACCTTTTTCTTTGGGGCCCCCCCAATAAACATATACAAACATTGGAGCCCCCCCACCATATAAATACACACGCACGCACGCACGCACACACACACATATGTACTGTGTGTGTGTATATATATATATATATATATATATATATATATATATATATATATATATATATATATGTGTGTGTGTGTGTGTGTGTGTGTGTGTGTGTGTGTGTGTGTGTTTGTGTAATATTAATATATAGTAATATGTATAGAAAATATTAATTAATCAGTTTTAACTTGTCTTGGCCTTCAATAAAACCAAAATTTACGTAGGCTTTGTCATACTGTCTAATCTTTTTCTTCGCCTCTGAAGAATCACTGCATTTACGTTTGTCTGCCATTTTTGTTTTGATTTTGCCTTTACGATACGTTGACAAGCAGATTGCGCGAGTGAGCAAAATTTAAATAATTATTTAAAGTTATTTATTTTAATTATTTTCACTATTATGTTGGAATTTTAATCATGTGTTTAGATTATTTTTTTATTTTTTTGGCTGCTCGATTTTGGGAAAAATCATAATCACGATTATTTTGGTCATAATTGTAATCACGATTATTCAAAACCATTGCCAGTTAAAGTCAAAATTATTAGCGCTCCTGAGATTTTTTTTTTATAAATATTTCCCAAATTATGTTTAACAGAGCAAGGAATTTTAACAGTATTTCCTATAATATTTTTTCTTCTATTTGTTTTATTTTAGCTAGAATAAAGACAGGTTTAAATATTTTGAAACCAATTTAAGGTCAATATTATTAGCCCCCTTAAGCAATATTTATTTTTGATTGTCTGCAGAATAAACTACGGTTATAATGACTTGCCTTATTACTCTAAGCCTTTGAACTGCACTTTAATCTGAATGCTTGTATTTTGAAAAATATCTAGTAAAATATTATATGCTGTCATTATAGCAAAGACAAAAAGAAATCAGTAATTAGAAATGAGATATCAAAACTATTATGTTCAGAAATAAGTTATTAAATTTTCTTTCCATGAAACAGAAATTGGGCAGGAAAAGGTTTGCTAATATTCAAAAGGGCTAATAATTCTGACTTCAACTGTATACATACAGTTATTTTCCACCCTGCAAAGGAAAGAGAAATGAATACAATAGAATAAAAATATGAAACAAACTGTGCTTTAAGCATCTTCACTGTAAGAAAAACACTTTAGCTACAGCATTCCTTCAGTCAAGAGCAGCGAGGGTTTTCTCGTTATGTTTGTTTAAAAATGATAAAAACAGGCGGCAGAAGGATATAGCGCGCTGTATCTTTAATGGTTTCTCTTTCACGTCTTTTGATCCTCAACTCGTTTGTTTATTATACAAATGAGGGTTAATGTTAATAATCACTAAACACCGCGTTTTGACACCTATTTGACCATTAAAGCGCTCACGTTAAGATGACTTTAGATGTCTGCGCTCCTCTGCTCGTCTCAGTGTGCGAATGAGAGTGAATGCTGACCGGCCGCATGCTTCTGACTGCGTGATCGTGCTGCACACACACATAAGCTCTTTCGCGCTTTTAAGAGCAACACGTGTACAACTGTGGCGAAATATGATGCAATAATCATTTATCTCGATTAATGCTTTTTATAATCGTTTGAAACCGAAATCTAAATCGGATTTTCGATTAATTGCAAAGCCCTTTATAATAGTGGACCATTTTTATGCCTTTTTCTACCTCAATACTTATCCTCTCCCGCGCCCCCCCTGTGAACTCTGGCGCCCCCCTTAGGGGGGCGCGGACCCCAGGTTGGGAACCACTGGTCTACGGCTCCATCAAGAAAGGCAGCCTGAATCTTTTTTTTTTTTTAAGGACAAAGCTACAGTATAGCACTGCATCCCAAATGACACACTATCCACTATCTACTCATGCACTATGTACTTATGTACTTACACACTCAACAACATAGTATATGTATGTAGTGTCATCCCAAATGGAACACTAATGGGTTTTTTACTAAGTGGAAATTCAAAATGTTTCCCAGATGACGTTTGATGGTTGCCAAATTAGCAAAATAAATGATAAAACTACCAAATAATAGCTGCCATGAGTATAATCGCATTCACCATCGGGAGGCGCTATAATCACTCTCGTAGGAGAATTTTGCTTTCACAATCCAAAATAAATAATCAAGCATTAGCACCCGGTTGTTCCCCTTCCGTTACGTGAGCAAAGCTTGGTCGTTAAGTGCGTGAAGTGTCCAACATAACACTCTTCTATTTACCAATGAATAAGTGCATTATCCGGGTAATTAAAGTGCACTTATTATTTTTAGAGTTTGCAGTGTGAATGCACTACTTACACTATTTATTCTACAAAATGGTGTAGAAAAGTGCATAAGTGTGCAGTTTGGTGTGGGAATGGCCTAAAGCTAATCTGAGCTCTAGATGGTTAAAAACACAGAGGAAATGTGTAATAGGGACATTCTGGGGATTGGTTTAAGTTTCTACAGGGAAAAATTACATTTAGTTTTCAGTATCAGTTCTAATCCAGATTTTAATGAGCAATAAATACCAAAACAATTGGTATCACCCTTAATGAAACTATATGGCTCATGAGGAAAATAGAATGATGAGCTGCTTAAGGTTCAAATGATTTGAAATTGGGCAACAGTTTAGCTTGTAAAACTTTAACGGAAGGTATTCTAAATTCTCTAACAATTAGGCATTGCGATTAAATTTAAAGTTGTTGTAACACTGTGTTGAACATATCTCTGTCCCAAACTTATTTGCAGTGTGCTCTAGCAATTATAATGAGAATGTCATACTTGGTACTTTTGTCAATTATATAAAAGTTAAACAGAACAAAAAAACAAAAAAATCACATATATATATATATTTTTTTTACAATGTACAAAATATTCTATCCTTTTTTCTTTTTTTTTTTAGAAATGGGGCTGCAGATGCTAGCGTGGGCATATTAAGAGACAATAATGTGTGTGTGTGTGTGTGTGTGTGTGTTCAAATGAACTTTTATTAGGCTCCATCTCCTGTGAATCCCAATGCATTGGACCGCACAGCTGCTTGGCTGCTGAATATGAATGTGCAATATTTGGAGCAGGAGGGAATTGACCCAGATTCCAAACACCGGGAGGACTTCCCAAACAAGGAGGATCTCACACCCACTGAAAAGGTAATAATGAGACCTCATCCTGCGGTACGGCTGCACAAAAGCAGCAGTATGTGCAAAAATACAGCAGGCGCACTGTTTGTGTGTTCAAAACTAGCCTCCCATGGGCTCACAAGACAGGAAGTGCTAGCAGACAGTGATGATTTATTATAAATGACATAAGGGACTTTCAGTTTTTGTGGAAATGATTGAATATGATTGATTTTTAGCAGTGTTGGGTAGGTTACTTTAAAAGAGTAATTAGTTACAGTTACTAGTTACAGTTACAGTCACAAACAGTAGCTGAGTTACATAATTATAAAAGTTACTAATTACCAGGCAAAGTAAAGATTACATTTCTTAAAAAAAATTCTAATATGTCAAATGACTATAAAAATATATAAAACATTGTACAATAATCTACACTATTTTAATCTTGTAAAGTAACGCTCATTGTTCCAGTTTGCAAAAGCTACATTTGAACTTGTTGGATTTGCCATCGTTCTTATTCCTGGTCACTGGTGTGTGCCACAGTCTGTGCATGTGCTTGTGTGTGAATGCCCACACTACTCTGCCTCTGATTGGCAAACAATAGAAATGTACTCTATCTGAGCCAATCATCACGTTCTCAATTACACCACGTTCCCAGACATGCCAATCATCATCTCTGGTAAGTTATGTGTCCCGCCTCAGCCCCTAACACACACACCCCAGAGAAAGCGAGTTCCTATGGCTGAAAGAAACGCTGCTCTTTTTTGATTCAGTTATTGATTCAGTGATTGATTCAGTGTTTTCAATTATAGTAACGCACATTTTATTGTAAAAGCAATGGTGTTGTAACAGGGGAAACAATTCATTTGATTACTCGTTACTGAAAAAGATATCGCTGTTAGTAACTCCATGTATTTATACCGCTGATATTCCCATCCCTGAATTTTAGTGATGTCACATTTCTGACCTAATTTTAATGAAATTATTTTTGTTAAATATTATTTAAATATTATTTTGTCAAATAAATTAGCACATATGTATAAAAACCATCAAACGTAATAGGAAATATAAAGATTTTTTTCTGTTCTCTTTATTCATAATAATTCAAGATTAAGATTAAGACTAAAGTTTTTTTACTAAGCGGAAATTCAAACCATTTTCCTGTTGACGTTTGCCAAATCAGTGAAATAAATGACCAGACTATCAAATAGCTGCCATGAGTAGAACCGCATTCACCATCAGTAGGCGCTATAATCACTTTCGTAGGAGAATTTTGCTTTTACCATCCAAAATAAATAAAGTTATCCAACATATGCGCCCGATAACTCCGACCCTTCTGCTATGTGAGCAAACCTGCAGTCGTTGAGTGCGTGAAGTTTCCATTATTACACAATTCATTGAATGAGTGGATACTACACTACTCACACTATTTATAATACAAAATTGCGTAGAATTGTATGAAGTATGCGATTTGATTTTGGACATACTAATTATAATTTCAAATACTATTCTGGATAGATAGTGTGCGAATTGGGACGAAGCACAAATATCATTGTGAGCTGTGGGCCGAAGGTAAATACACCGAACTATATTACATTAAAGTTGTCATGGGTAATTTTCTAGTTTATTAAATAATATTTAAAAATAAATAGAAAATATCTCTATAAAATGGTATTAACTGATGCAGTATAACTTTTAAAATGATAATCTTATGCTTTAAAGAAAATCTTTAAAGGATCCTCATCATTCTCCTTCTCTTCTCAGATGATATGGCGGGACAAACCAAAGGTTACCATGGGCCAACTTTGGCCTGCGGGCCATAGTTTGGGCATCTCTGGTCTTTCACAAAAGAAATAAAGGAATCATCATGATTTTTTCCCCCTGTTCTAGCACTCAGACATGTGGAAATTTTCAGCTCAGATCTCGATGCTTAGTCATGGCATCATGTCTTAAACTGAAACGAGGACTCTGAATGTCAGACCTCAGACAGCTTGATGTTGTTCGGAGAGTAATGAAATTCTAAAGGACTTTAGATAAAGTTGACTTTTGATCTCTGTAGTGCTGTAATTTAGGCAGACAGGTTCACATCACTGCACTGCAGTGGCTGGCTTACACTCGTCTGTCGTCTCTTTAATGAATAATGAACCGATGGAGTGTGCCGAACACGTACATCCACACACACTCAACCCTTCACAGATAAACCTTGCTGCATCTGTGCTGCTTCAAGATGTTAATGTAAGTGATGCTGTAGTGGTTCATGGTATAATCTAAAGGGAACAGAGTTTATTGTTAATACTAAAGTTGGTGAAAAATGTATAATATTAAAAAATAAACACACAAAGAAAGCCAGGCTTATTATGTTGAGTCTTTTCATATTTAAAAAGCAGTCAGTTTCTGTATCTGTATTTCCAGGACTCAAGATAGAAAAATGTTCCCTAAAAGTTTTCTTCTTTTCAGAGAGAGATGCATAAAATATTTCTGCACTCTCTTAGTTTTCATATAGCCTAAAACAAAAATACAGTAAAAAATTTGTGTTAAAATATAAGGCTGATCGATTAATCTAAAAGTAATCGAATCTTAAGTCTATGGATGGAATGTCTTTAACTAGTTTTCAATGTTATTACTGGGCTTCAAATATTCGTCCTATACTTCACTGGCTTTACGAAGATCTTGGGGCTGATGCTTTAGCCATCGAGTCTACCTCATGCTTGCCCTCATCCCTAGCAGCCTTAGTTTATGCTCCTCTTTCCTTCCCTCATGACAAATTCACAAAACTTTTTAGCTGGAAAGATCCACACTTAAATTTTGAAAACAAATTAGATGTTATTTTGGTTGGCAAATCATATCTCCAAAATCTCCCATTCATTCTAATCCGGTTTTTATCTTATCAATAATTGATAAATCATTTGCGTCTTGGCATACTAAAGGTGTTAAGGAAATAAATGACTTGTATCATGAGGGAATTTTCTCCTTATTTTAGCAGGTATGTGAAAAGTTTAATATTCCACACAAAAGCTTATTGTACAGCAAAAATGTTCCCACAGTTTCCGGCATCGCCTCCTAGCTCCTCATTTGATAATTTACTGGAGAAGCCAACAATTTGGAAAGGGATAACATCATCATTCTACTATAAAATTATGGCACCATTTGATACATCCCATTACCAAATAAAATCTGTGTGGGAAGACCATCTGGGAATTACAATTTCAGATGAGGACCGGGAATCAGTCTTTTGCAGAATTCACACGTGCACTGTCTGTGCAGGACATGGACTTCTGCAGTGCAAAATTGTGCATCATGTACACTAGATAAACCTAAAGCTCTCAAAGCACTTTCAGCATATACAGTGGGTGACACTTTAAAATGGCGGGCTTTATACCACCGCCGCTCTTAAGAAGTAAGAACTGAAATATAACAGTATAACAGAAATATACAGTAGCTGTAAATACTCTACTAGTAATTGAACATGAAACAATAAAACAAAGCATTATAATTCCTTCGTTAATCATAAAAAATGTTAAATTATTAACAAGCTTTATTACCATTGTAAAGTTGTTAAGTGAAATGAGGATTCATTTTGGAAAGTAAAATTAAAGAAATAGAAGACAACTGTACTAAAAGTACAAACATGCATACAAATAAGTAGGCCTAAATAAATAAATAAATAATATAATCCTGCCTGTAATCACTGTAATTCCATTTCAGCCACTCATGCGCATGTGTTTTAGGCTACGTTTACACTGCAGCCAATGTGGCCCGAATCAGATTTTTTGCCCACATGTGACTCAGGTAATGACTAGATTTATGAGTTTAGATTTGTGTCACTACCGTATGTAGTATTAAATCAAATACTTCTTTTCAGATAATCTGATGTTTTGCAATGCGGCCACAGTGTGACCACGGTTTTGTCAGATTTCATGTAACTTTTACATAATCTTTGAGCGACATGCGTCATCATTCTGTGCTGCAAACATCATCTACTCAGCAGCATAGTAGAATGGCACACAGGCCAATTACTTTACCACAGAATTTTGATGGCAAAACTGGTTAACGATAGGGGCACGGGTTGATGGCGAAGCCAAAGAGAGGTGTTGCGGATAGGGGACCTGTGTGCAAAGGAAAGGCACTTTTGAAATTTTAAGGATGAACTTTCTCTCCAAGAGAAAAAAAGTGCTCAAACCCACCTTCTGCACGTGCCTGTTGTTTATAGTGAAATAAAATGAAATAACTCTGCAAACAGAGATAACCAACTCCGCCTTCACAGTTCAGTCTGCGACTGCTTATTAACCCTTGATGAGTTCACTACACTGGTGCTCAGTAAGAAACGCACCGCGGTCATCATAAATCACAAATGATCAGTGTTTTCAATCACAAGAGACTTATTTAAGGTTTCAATTGGCGAAATACACATTAGTAGTCGCAGAACAACCCTTTACAGGTCATGAAATACACCACGGTTGTCTGTGAAATGGGCAATAATCATATTAAGCATAATCTGACATCGTGCTTCTCACAGTATACACATTGTGTGCATAATTAGACATTTTGTGGAATCCGTAATTGTACTTTTGCGCATGGGGGTCAGTTTAGAAACAAGATCTGTTCACACTGCAAATCTGATATTTGCCACATAATAACAACATTGTGAACAGCTATTTAAAATAATCAGATCTAAGAAAAAATCTGATTTGAGCACTAAGCCTCGACCGTAGCCGCTGTCTTGTATAAAGCTTAACTGCTTTTAAAGCACTATTTTTCTCCAATCATCAAGATGGCGCCGAGCTTGGCCACCGTGTTGCGAGCTCCCAGCAATCCTAAGCTTTTCACTCATCCTAGCACATGTGCTGCTGATGATGTGACAATAAAAGTGATTTTAAAACTATATTTGTTTTATCTGTTTTTTTTATTTTTTTTATTTTTTATTTTTTTTGGGGGGGGGGGGGGTATCTATTTTCCCTTGCCCACTGATTGTCATATAATCTTACATAGATACAGTTTTATTGCATAGCTTTTATCATCACTCCACAAGCAGATTCGCGCTACCTCACTGATTTTGATCCTGTCCCTAAAAATTATTTTAAACCCGGAAGATGAAATTAAACACGCAACACACACAAATCTGTTAATATTTAAAAAAATAATTACTCCAGGGTGTCTTGAAAATGTAAATGCTCTTGTAAATGCATTTTTTTAAGTTAAAACATTAGTAAACTAAAGTAAATTTTGCATGTAGACAGACCTTGCACTGGTTTCAACTTGGGTACATCACTGTTAGAGAAACCGCATTGTGAGCACCGTGCTTTACTGTCTGAGCTACCAGATTGCCCCAAAGTGCATGAAAAATTAATCTTTGAAGCATTCGCTAGCACCTGCTAGATATACTTCATACAGCTTTCCTGGATTTTCCAGGCTTAGCAGACAGATACGAGATGATTAGCAGGCTGTATTCATGTAATATGCATGTCAAACCACAGCCGTACACATCGCACAAGTCTCTCCGTACACAGCTTTTGTTGCCCCTGTAATCCAGCTATTAGACTTCTTCATTTTCTCCTTTTCTTCTTCAGTATCAGCATGAGATAGCCGTCCTGCAGGAGAAGCTGCGTATTTCTGCCAAGAAGCTGGAGGAGTATGAATCTCGTATGAAGAGTCAAGACGACCAAACGCAGAAGATGCTCCTGGAGTACCAGGCCCGGCTGGAGGACACGGAGGAGAGACTACGCAAACAGCAGGACGACAAAGAGCTGCAAATGAAGAGCATCATCACCAGGTGAACATCTGTAGAGAAAATTCATTTCAAGTTTATTTGTATTAATTAATTAACTATAATTATTGTGCCAAAGCAGCTTTACAAAAGGAGCACATTTTTGCGTTATAATCAAATTCAGTAAAAATGAAGGTTATTAGTTATCATAACTTTATTAGTTACTAATATCTTAACTAATTAACCAGTAACTAATAGTTTTTAACAGTTAAAGTTATATACACTCACCGGCCACTTTATTAGGTACACCTGCCCAACTGCTTATTAACGCAAATTTCGCAGTGTACCCATCTTCTGATGGCTACTTCCAGCAGGATAACATGCCATGTCATTAAGCGTGAATCATTTCAGACTAGTTTCTTGAACATGACAATGTGTTCACTGTACTGAAATGGCCTCCACAGTCACCAGAACTCAATCCAGTAGAGCACATTAGGGATGTGGTGGAACGGGAGATTCGCAATATGGATGCGCAGCTGCCAAATCTGCAGCAACTGTGAGATACTATCATGTCTATATGGACCAAAATCTCTGAGGAATGTTTCCAGTACATTGTTGAATCTATGGCACGAAGGATTAAGGCAGTTCTGAAGGCAAAAGGGGGTACTATTAAGGTGTACCTAATAAAGTGGTGAGTGTAAACATAGTTAACCTGCATTTATAGAGTGTAAAGGTAATTTCGATGTATACATGATCAATGGAGTGTATTTGTGTATTAAGTGTTGTCCATCAAAGGAGAAACAGAAAAGTTTGAAGATCCTTCTGGAAATTGATAGACTGTAGGTTCGAAATGGTGCTTTACAGATTTATAGACATTATTTGGTAGCGCTACACATTTAATATTAATAATATTCCAAATTTTGCCTTCTAAGAGATGGTACAAGATTGCTAACACAATTTAGCCATGAGAGGTAAGATAACTAGGGTGCAAAAGTTACTTTACAAATAGATAACATTCTGATTTACATTTTCTATGGGTTTTGGTTAGTATTATGTTATAGACAGCTCAAGTAGCTTCTAAAGCATGAAGATGTATATCTATTTTTTGTTTCAGGTTGATGTCGGTCGAAGAGGAGCTGAAGAAAGATCACTCAGACATGCAGGCCATCGTAGACTCCAAACAGAAAATTATCGAAGCCCAGGTGAATCCAAAATCTTGTATATAGATTTATAAATTGTATTCAAAATAAAACCTATTGTTTAATATATACATTTTATTAAGTAATTTTTAAAACACATTTTTAAATTAAAATATTAATCAAATAAATGAATGTATTAGTTACAAAATATGTTACTCTGTGTATGTTACAAATCAAATACATTATTTCCAGGTTAATAATCAGATTTGTTACATTCAACATGTTGGTTTGCAGCAAAAAATAAAAATTCTAGAGGCCTTTTGGATGATTTTCAAATCCGACTTGAGTGCTGCTGTCATTAATGCAATACTGCCGCATACTAAACACTAAGAAATCAATGCGCTCTCTTTACTGAAGTTGTTTTGCCGATAATTTAATTTAATGGACAGTTTTCTATTAAATAAGAAACAAGCAGCTATTCATCTAACAGTCTCGGTTGCCTGTGTGAATATTTTGCAAGGTCACAGCGCCCTCTTGTGTTGAGTTTATATTTCAGCATATTGTGAGCGGTTTAATGGTGTTAATGTATTTGAAAGTTTAATGATGATTGCCAGTGTCCTCCGGGGACAATCAGTGTCTCTCGTAAACAGTTTGATGAGCATAAAAACCACCCACTGTGGATTTGCTTCAGCACTCATCCAAATCATTAAAGACTTTCTTAACATCATAGATTTATTTTATAAAGACAAAGCCATCGCCGTGTGAATTTTAATTCCAACTCTGTGAATTCATCTTATGGGTTGTAGACGGTGTAATTAATCTGTAATGATTCCGAGCCAGTCACCTCGTGTCCATTGCAGAGCAGAAAGACTTTAATTAAACATTAAATATCATGCACTGTTAATCACCTTCTCCTATCTGACCTCCATTAATGGTCAATTCCCAACAGGAGAAGAGAATCGCATCCCTGGATGCCGCCAACGCCCGGCTAATGAGCGCTCTGTCTCAGTTGAAGGATCGTTACAGCATGCAAACCAGGAATGGCATCTCTCCGACAAACCCCACCAAGCTGCAGATCACGGAAAACGGAGAGTTTCGGAATAGCAGCAACTGCTAGCATGGACACAAACACGGGCCTACGGGTCTAGTGACGGACAAGGGCTATGGGTAACTCTCACAATATGGAAGGAAAAAAAGAAACGGCACTCTGGCATTGTTAAACTGACCTAGTATTAAGTCGGAAATAAGTCGGTGTGTCGTTTTAGAGTTGCACAATGTTACATGGTTGATTTTTCACTCAGTGTATAAAGGCTATGGTGTCTTTTAGATGATTAGCCTGACGGATGTCTAATGAAATACTCCCATGATGCTTCTTTGGTAGCCCTTGTCACAAGCAGTGACTAGGGGTGTGTTCACACTTGCAGTTTGGTCCAGATTAAAACAGAAAAGCCTTTTATGCTGGTATTCACACTCATTTTAAATGGGTCATGAACTACTTTTTGGTTTTCTCATTAGAACATTATAGATCACATCCTTCATATGTGTTTTCATAAATAGGTCTTGGTTAAAAATGCATAGATACTGAGTACATATCAAATGATCTGTATTAACAGTCAAAGTAATAGCAAACGTATTTAAAACAGTTACACTTGTGTGGTGCAACATTACTGACAGATCTAATATAGTTGCCACAACATCGTCATATTTTGAGTATTTCCGAAATCCAGCGTCAAATTGTGCCTTGTCTGCAAACAAATTGGCAAACAAAGTTCTTAAATGTCCCGTGAAGTGCTTTGAAAAGTGCATTTTTATTTCATGTCGAAACTTAAAGAGAGGGCGGGACATAGTGTAGCCCCTCCCCTTTAAAAAACAGCCAAAAGTGTTTTGCTTTTTCACCGCTCTTTCAGTCAGAGTAGTTGAGCTCAATTAAATGAGAAGCATCTTGAAGAGGGCGGGCATGTCAGATACTAGAGAGCATTTTATTGGTCAAATATGTGAGTAAAACAGTTGATCCATTTAGGCGGAAGTGACAAACTGCAAGCTTCATGTGTTAAATTCATGCTTTATATCTTCTAAACAGGAATTTCCTCACTGTTTTGGTGCGCACTAGCTTATAGATGTCCTAAAAACGAACAATACTTATACTAACATCTAAAACGTTATTTTCATTTCATGGGACTATTAAAGAGGTGATCTGAAACTTAAATAATAATACAATTCATCCACTCTTTCCTAATGTTGGGATGAGAAGACAGAGCATCTTGTTGTCTTCTGAGCATCTTTATTGTTTGGTCGTTTAATTCAACAGTGTGAATCGTGGGTGGAGCTAACCTGGCTGTGATGTAGAAGTGGGTGTTGATCATCTGCTGTGGAGGCGGGGTTTAGCCACACTATTACACAGCCTGTTATTTTAGCAGACTCGCTTCAGATTGAGTTCAGACTGCATGATTTTAGCTCTGGTTTTGAATCGCCAACAGGTTTTTAGAAATTGCAGACAAGCATCTGAAATCACAGGCAAGTCGGTGCTCGTTCACGTGAGCAACAATCACACAGTGTAAACTATCAAAGATGCAATCTGAGAGAATCGGTGATGAGTTGTTGACACTCGTCAGATATTTGGCATGATAAATATCTAGAGCTTTCTGCAATTAAAAATCATGCCATGTGAAATTTGTTCTGATTGAAAATGACATCAGCGATTACCTACAACCAATGAAAGAGCAGCATCCACTAGTATGGGTATCAGCAGGCCGGCGGGAGGCTGGGGGAGAAGTTAAAAGGGCCTCTATTCGGTTTATTTGGACCCAAGAAATTGAGAAAAACTAATGTAAATTTGGCAGGAGCACCCGTGTCTGTTAAACGTGTCATCTGAGCAATACCACAACCTGGTCAAAATAAAAAAAGTTTAAGAGAAATTAACTTCAGGTGAGCAAAATAAGTACATTTTCTACCCCACTAAAGGCTTCTTTCTCATTATATAGATAAAAACACAAGATATATTATGTGACTGCTTGTTGTTTCCATGTCATTGCTCGTGTGTGTTTGGTTATGAGATGTAGTTTCCGGACTGAGACAAAGTTGCCGGCGATTCTCCTATATTGTAAAGTTATGCAGTTTGAAGCCCCCTGTCACCGATCCATTCTACTGTGTAAACACAGCACTAACAACTACCCTAGATAGTCGTACAGTGTGAAAACATCTGATACGTGACTACTTTAAAAATCGTGCAGTCTGAACTCGACATTAGACTAGACAGAAACTTCTGAAACTTACAGGATATTTTGGGTTTGAGTTGAGAACTCAAGAAGAGCTTATAAAATGCATACAGAAGTCAAAACAGCACAAGGAATTCCTCTATCACACACACGCATATATTTGCTGCTGGAATACAGTATATGTTTATAATGCTTGTATTGACATATAGGCAATATAGCTCCTTTGTTTAGAAAAAAACCGGTATGCTTGTACAGTACATCCCTTATTTAGATCTTGTGACATCACAGTCAACTTTTGGTTTGCCCCTGGAGGGCCGGTGTCCTTCATATTTTAGTTCCAACCCCAGTTAAACAAACCTAATTCAGCTAATCAAGCTCTTTCTAGGTATACAAAAACTTTACGGCAGGTGTGTTGAAGGAAGTTGGAGCTAAACTGTGCAGGACACAAAAGTTTGAACACCCCTGGTTCAGCCCCACGTCATGATTTTGCCAAATACGATGTGATCCTGGATTAACATTTATGTCAATCCTGGAACATCTTTTTTGTTGGAAAATGTAATCCATGGCTATAACTACCTCTAAACCCAACCACAACTGTAAACTATTCCCAAAATTAGAGGGGAATAATAGTTGAATAACAATCATGTAGAAGTGCTTAAACTTAACCGTAAGCTTAAGCTTAACATAAACTGTATCCCTTAATTTTGATTGGCTGATTGGAATGTTGTTCCAGGATCATCATAGATGTTAATTCAGGAACATGTCCTACTTGGTGAAATCAGGTTGTCGTTGTTTCGCCTTTGGTTTGTGTTGTATTCATACTTCAGTCGAATCCCATCAGAGTTTGAAGTGAAACGAGACATTTACAGTGTTTTCGGTCTGCTTGTTTGGTTCAAATGTCACCAATCACATCTAAGTTTCTTTTAATGGACCCCAAGCCTGCCAAGTGTGAACACACCCTAAATTCTGCATCATCCATAGATTTGAACTTGGCATATAAGCCTTTTGATTGGACTCCGCATGATAGTTCTGCTCATGTATGTAATGATTTGATAAAACACTATTTTCAGCTTTTTTTATTGTACATTTCATCACCCTTTTTTGTCGCTTGCGTCACTCCAGGACGGCAGTAGCACAAAGAGCTCGCTTTTTTTGTAAGAGAAACATTGCATTTGGTTGCATACTTTTTTTGTATGTTCATAACATTTTCGTCTATGAATAAGGTGCAATCCTTATTAATGTATATAGTTTTTATGGGCTTTTCAGAGAAAAGAGATTTTTCTTTTGTTTTGCTTTTTTTCGTACAGTGTGTATTTCCCGTGCTGAGTTCTGCTGTACTTTATGTAGAAGAAGAACAACATAAGCTGATTGTACATTCAGGTGCTGCTTCTAGACAGAGCAAAGACAACGACACACACTTTAACCCTCTGCAAATGCTCACAATCAACGCTGTGGATACAAACAATCCTCATACTGCTTGCTGTGGCCAGTATTAGACTCCATACCCAACATGATACCTTCAGTACAATCAATGTCTGTCCTCCTACGATGTCTTTTCTTCCACTCTATGCACTTTCTATAGCATTAGAATGGACCCTTTAACCAAAACCTGCTTCTGTGGACTTGTTATAAAGGCTATTCAGAGCAGCAAGTACAAAGCATATAGCATTCGGCACTTGGACTGGATGACAGATGATGTGTGAGGGGAACGTGGCTGATTTTTTTTTTTTGCTTAAAGGTTGTGATGTTTTGTGCTCTTCAAAAGCATCAAACGAACCGCGAGTGAGTGGAGCACGGCAATAGTTGCGTCAGCTCTGCATGAAGAGCCTATGAAGGTTTGCTCCATTATCAGACGAGCCTGATTTAGCTTCACTCAACTTTATTCAAATTAGGTTCACCGAGAGGAGATCCAGAAGACTGTCAGAGTTTCTTTTTGTCGAAAGATTCACATCAGTTTTATTTGGGTCTGAAATTTTAGAGGGCAAATCACTTTTCTGTGTATGAATCTAACATTGAACGTCTTAATTTTTCAGAATACTTGGTTTTCACTGTTTGTTTTTTTTTTTTTTTTTGTTTGTTTGTTTTGAGAGAGAGAAAGAATGCTCTGTTTGTCGTTTGGAGTTGATTTCTTTTAATATATATTTTAAGTTATGTTCAGCTAATTTATTTATTCAACTTTATTTGTCGCAACCCCAGATTAGAGAGTACTTAATGAAGTTTGGACGGCGAATGTGTCAAGCATTTAAAAAGATGTTAAGGTCAACCTGAAATGAAAGTTGCAACAGTCAGTTTATCCTCTCTATTATTAGAATTAGCTGAGTGAATTGAGTCCTCGTACAATTGGGTGTGCAATACTGGTCATCTGTAATAAGTGAAGTAAACTAAACAAATTTCAAGAGGACTACGTGCTTATGATTGACCACAGCTGGTCCCCTATGGCTAAACACGATTCACCATCTAGACGATTACTAAAGCTGTGGTCACACTGGACTTTTCTCCCTATAGACCTCCATTCATACTGTTACGATTTAATAAGTTGTCTTGGGGGAGTAAACGTAACATTTAGAATATTCGATTATTATTGAAGTAAATGGGTGGAAAATACACAAGGACACAAGTTTAGCAATTTATTTATTTATTCCTCTATGAGGAAAAGACGGATAAAGCCAACAAAATAAAGGCATATGTGTGCGCTTTGTACAATGCATAAAAAAAGCAAACAGAAATATAATCAAACCAAAAGTTTCTGGGGAAAAGGATATAGAGTGGTGCCAAAGCAAAGAACTAAAAAACAAAAACAAAAGCCACCTAAACTAGAATACAAGATCCCCCTTAACTTACTAATGAAAATCAAAATGTGAAAAAGAAACCAAAATCTTCAGCGTATGCGACGCCAATAACATAAACTCCATGAAATAATAAAAAAAATACAAAAAGTGGCTCTCAACCACTTACCTAGTGTTTCTGAACAATATAAATACCTACAGGCAAAGTGTATGTTGCGGGACTTAGTAACTTATTTCGTTTTCCCCAAAAAGGAATGATAAACTCTTTAACCATATTAAATTAATTTACATTTGTGTGCAATTATTCAGAACAAAAACACAAAGCATAATCAGAGCGAGCGTACACAACACAAACCAACACACACACACACACACAGCACTCTGTCAAACAAGGCGTGCCGGTCAAATTTAAAGTCCGCGGAACGAAGCCCAGCTAGTCCATGAGGAAACGCCCTAATGAGGAGTGACAGGCTCGGGATCCAATCAGCAGGTACCTGGGAGAGAAAATAGCGGAACAAAAGGTGATAGGGCGAGACAGAGCGAATGACAGACAAGGAGAGGGACAGTGAGGGGAGACAAGGACAAGCACAAAAATACAAACTCCCACGTACCGTAATGCAAACGCACGCAAAACACAAGCTTATGCGTCAAGTTTCGCCGATGGCTACTTTGGAAAGTTCAAGCTTGGTGAGCTCTGACCTGCGAAATTGCATCATTTGACTGCGTGTGACCCATCGAGGATCAAAACATGAGCTCTCTGTTCAGGGTTTTTAAATATAAAGCAATCACTCACTTTTTTTAATGTCTAATCATCTTGTTTAATCCCGCCCCTTTACGCAGCACCATTCAACAAAACTTCGCATGCTCAAACTCTAATGTGACCGCAGCTTAACTCACAATAACTAACCAGAGTTTCTTACCTCAGTTTTCATCGTATTGAAGAACATTCCCTCCCACCGCTACTCCTCTCTCCTATTTCTAGATTGGGTGACACGGCGGCCCAGTAAGTCCTCACAGCAAGAATGTCACAGGTTAAAGTCCTTACTGGGCCAGTTGACATTTCTGTGTGGAGTTTGCATGTTCTCCCTGTGCTCGCGTGGGTTTCCCCTGGGTTCTCTGGTTTCCTCCCGCTGTCTAAAAACATTTGACGCAAGTACATTAACCATACCAAATTGACACCATAGATGAGCGCTTAGTAAGTAGTCTATCTCTCTGTAGCTATCCATTTTACCTGTCAATAGCCATAAATAAGTCAGGGGAGTTCTCAAGATCTACCTGAGCTCAAACTCCCCTTTCACCCTGCTAACGGGAGGGAGCCCAGAGCTTGAGGATCTTATAAGCTCAGAGCTTTCTCCCGGGACTGCATGCCAAACACACGTCATACTCAATCATCAGCTAAGTGTGAACGCTTGAATATCATAATTGTTGTCAATATCAATGCCGTGTGAGCTAGTGTGTAGACTAAATACTAGTGTCACTATTCCATAAAATTAAGAACTGATCACTTTGATTTCATGTTGACTTTAAGAGTTGAGATGTGTTTTTTTTATGTTTAAAATATTAACCAATGGAGTGAGGTTGTGGGAGGAACTGTCTTTATTTGGCCAATGGCATTCAAGAAAGCTGTTTGAAAACATTCATTATTTTTGCAACTGCAGTGTG